AAAAAAAAAAAAAAGGGGGGGGGCAAAGGACTTGAATAAAACTCTCAGAAGGAATGTCAACAAATGAAAGTATTCAAAAATAGATTTCTCTGGCCAGCCTGGGCCTGTGGTCACATGAGCTAGAATCTACACTGCTGACTGTGCTGCTCAAGCCCTGGACCTTGTGGTTCAAAACCACATCGGGTGCATATGTGTGCCCAAACGAGCGGAGGGAGATAGGGAAGGGGGGATGTGGCCTGACCACACCCCCGAGGGGTGCTTTCTCCTCTTCCTCTCCCTGAGCCTCTGTCTCTCTGTGGCAAGCACACGTGGCCTCTGAACAATGAAAAACAATAGATTTGTCATCACTAGTCACTGCATTAGTCCAGATCAAAGCCACAGATTAATGTCATTTCACACCCACCAGCATGCAGGTGTTTAAGGACGAGAAATAAGGACCTGCCCAGGCCTAGCAGCTAAAGGAGCACGATCCCACATGCCAGATCACGGTTCGAATCTGAGCCCTGGTGGCACGGAAAACATGACAGGCACATGCGTGTGCACCCCCAGGATCCCACAAGATGGAGGAACTGAGAGAAAGAATTGTGGCAGGCCTGTCTCCTTAGCGAGCGCATGCTCTTTCTCCCTCTCCCTGTCTCTGTCTCTAGCTACTGCAGACACTCTTAGGTAGGTTTTTTTTTTTTTTTTTTTTTTGGGTTTTTGCTATAGGGCACGTTCACTCGCCAGAAAGACAGAGACAGAAAGCGAGAAATCACCTCCCAGGGGAGATGGCCATGCCGCAATCCCTTCTCCTCCATTCTCCTCTCGGGATCTTGGGCACGCCCGCACACGCACCTGGCGTGAGTTTCAGCCACCAGGTCTGGGACTCAAATCACAGTCAACTACATGGGAGTCCAGCGACATAGCCATTATGCCAACTGGTGGTCGCCTTTGGTAGTTTTTAAAAAAATACATACAAGAACGGGAGGATTTGGAATCTTCATTCCTTGGTGGTGGGACTGGGCAGTGGTGCTGACACTGGAAGAGTCGGGCAGCTCCTTACGGAGATATGCCCAGAGCTACGCATGTAGCCCAGAGTCCCAGTGCTGGGAAACTGCAGCACGTGTTCGGTAACACCTGTACATAGATTTTGTTTGTTCCTATATGGTGTGAGTACTTACAGGACAGACAGAGAGCGAGATTGAGAGAGAAAGTAAGAAAGCACCCCCCGGGGGGAACGGCCCAACTGCAACCCCTTCTCCTCCACGCTCTTCTCTGGATATGGGGCACACTAGCATACACGCCCTGCATGTTCTTTTCAAGCTGCTGACTCTGAGGCTCGAACCACACACTCAGCCATGCGGGATCCCATTGGCTTAACCTCCACCTACCTTCTGTGCATGAATGTTTGCACAGCATTGCTCAGTTAGCGAAAAGTGCAAAAACCCTGACGTCCATCAGCTGATGAATGGATGGGCACATTTGCTCTCCACACAACGGGGCATTACGTAGACGTAAAAAGAAAATGCGTGTTGACAATGCAACGGCATGAACCCTGAAAATCCTGCGTGGGGGAGAGAAGTCAGACGGGAAAGGCACCACACGTGCGGTGCTACTGACACACAAGGCCCACGAGGGACGTCCTTGGGAGAGAAAGCAGACCAGTGCTTGTCAGGAGGGACATGGGTGCAGGGCTCGCTCTGGGTGAGGGCAGTGTGCTGGAACCACAGCGGTGGCGGTGGCCAGTACTGGGAGTGAGCTCAAAGCCCCTTGACTGTAGGAACATAAGAAATTGATGTTGGGAGAAACGAATCTCGGTAAAATACGTATGCATGTAATTCTTAGTTCATTTTTTTTACATTCCTGATAAAGTGGGTTTGTGTGAGAAAGGGAAGGGAAGAAACACCTCCAAGGCTCAGTCGTCCTGCCATGCCCTTACTCACGTCCGCCAGCCATGAGACTCCAGCTCTTGCACGCCCCTGGCTGTGTACAGGTAGGCCCGAGAACTGAACCCTGGTCTTCCACCTGGGCCTGGCACTGGGCCACCGTGTCTCTTCCATTAGTTTCTAATTTCATGATCGAATGTGTGCACATGCAGGAGAGAGGTAGACAGAGAGAGAGAGAGGAAGAGGCGGAGAAGCACCCTCGGGCGCGGTCATGCTGAGACCTCCCTTCTCCAGTCTCCAGCCCACCAGGGTCCTGGGTATGCCTGCACATGTCCAGCGTGTTTTAAGGCCATTGGGCTGGGACTCAAACCACGCGATGCATGTGGCCTCCTGCTGTCCAGCCCGGCATGCTGCCCACTGCACCGCTGAGGCGGGGCCACACACACAAGGCTTTTGAGCTGCAGGGAGATGTCATGTTTCCTGACGCTGCCCCATGAGAAGGCCCCACTGAGCCCCAGACACCCCGCAGCGTGCCGGGCAGTGCAGGCCGTGATCGGGCTGGCTGTGGCTGTGGGGTGGTGACAGGGGCTGTGGAGTCCCGACCTCATTAGGGCGCTGTCTCTCTGTGCCCCTCGTTCTTGGAAGAAATGAATAGCAGTAATAATTTTTAAAGACTTACGAAGAAAGGGAAGGCTGAAGGGTGTTCAGGACGTGGACAATAGGGCCTGGAGAGGCTCTGCTGTGAGAGTGTGGCCCTGTCCTGCTGCGGGCCCGTGACGTGAGAGGTCTTTGGGGACAGGTCCCCACCGTGGCTGTGGGGGTTGGGGATATGACGGGAGTCAGGGTCCCCAATGGAGGTCTCTGGTCATGGGGTGAGTCCAGGAGAAGGAGTCCCGCCCTGCCCTGAGCTGGATTTTCCCAGAGGAGGGCGGGGTGCAATTAGGGCAGAAACACTCTTTTCCACACCAGAAGCCACAGGATGTAGGAGGGACACACTTGTGTCCCTGCAGGGCCCTAACTCGGCCAAGCCTCCAAGACACAGCCACCAAGTGTCCCCAGACCAGTCTTCCTGTCCCCCTGAACCTTCAGGGACCCGGGCATCCTGGCCAGCACTCACAGGACATGCTGAGCCACAGGGTTCTCTCTGTGGTCACGCCAGCTCCCGGGAGCCTCACCTGGCAGGTGAGGTTGGTGCCGTGGTCCTGGGGCCGTGGGGTGAGGGTGAGCACCGAGGAGTGGGTGGTCGTGGGGCCCAGGGAGGTGGGGGCAGCTGACGGCCAGGAGAAGGTGGGGGGTGTTCCCTGCTCACAGGCCCAGGGCACCGAGCAGGTCAGGTTACTGGGGCGGCTGGACTCCAGCGTCGCCGGGATGTGGATGTCGGGGGTGAGGGTCAGGGCTCGTGAGGAATGGGGGGACACAGGATCAGGAAGGGTCTGAGAAGCGGCCGTGAAGGCAGCTCAGGCTCTGGTCCAGCCCCTCCCTGAGCCAGACAGGCTTCACCCAACCCCTCCCAGGACGGGCCCCAGCCCAGTCCAGCCCTGCTGCCCCAGTGGCTTTCCCCCTGGGGCCACCCCTGGGGCCCGTGCCTTACCTGTCACATGCAGGAAGAACTTATTAGTGGACGTCCACTTCGTATATCCTCTCTCCACGCGAAAAACGTACGAACCACTGTCCGACTTCCGGGCGTCTCTGATGCTCAGGGAGCAGTTGAGGACTGTGGGGTCCCCAAGGACCTGGAATCGGCCCTGGGTGTCCTTTTGCACTGCTCGATTCTGGTTGTTGGTGGCCACTGGGGTGTCCCGATTTATATCAGCCCCGGCCCGAAACCAGTAGCCATAAGCAGGGAGTAGGTTTGAAGAGATGCCCCAGGAGGAGGAGAAGGAGCAGGGCACAGTGACGCACAGGCCCTCCTGCACTGTCACCGACTCAGGCACGTCCAGCCAGAATCTGTCATCCTGAGCCAGGGACCCTGTGGGGAAAGGAGGGTCAGCCCGGCCCTGCCCCCACCCGGGCTCCCCCCTGCCCACAGCGGGGGCAGCAGCAGCAGCGGAGGCTTCATCTCGGAGCCGAGGTCCCTGGGCTTCCTGTGTGAGCAGAGGGGAAGGCGACGGCAGGAGGGGCAGGGCCAGGACCCACGGAAGCCGGGGAGGAGCTCCAGGCCTGGGCTTCACAGAGGAGGAACCTCAGACCCCAGGTGTCCAGGCTTCCCCAATCCACACAGAGATCCTGGCCACTCAGGAGAGGAAAGCCCCAAGACCGCCCTGCCCCATCCCAGGCGCTCTCTGACCTGGAGCCTGGACCAGGACCAGAACCTCTGGGGAATACAGGGCAGGAATGTGCGTGAGGGTCTAAAGTCCTCCCTCTCTGAGCTGCTGCTCTGTGTACCACTGTGTCCACCAGGGAGCTGGGCACTCCTGGCCATGCCCTGGAGAGTCAGGGCCTCATCTAGACCCATTGGGTGGTGGGTCCTGCAGGACGTGGGATTCTGCAGGGTCCGAGTGAGTGTCTGGGACTCGCAGCGGGAGGGTGTCTGGGCTGAGGTGGAGGCAGCAGCCGTCCATCCAGGGGTGCAGCAAGCCCAGGGAGCATCCATGTGCGGTGGGACCGGAGACGAGAGGGGCCACTGACCGTCTTTAACCTTGAGGTGCTGCCACCCACAGCCCGCATCTCTCCAATCGCGCACAGTCGGCTTCAGACCCGTGGTCACCGGGGACTTCGCCTGTGTCTAGGACCCTGGGCCTTTAAGCACTGGGGTGGGAACTTTCCGTCCTAGGCCCTAGCACACTGATGTGCATGCATTCCATGACATCTCCCAGGAGAGCCACGTGACATCTTCATGTGAAGGGAGAGACCGTGGACCCCGGGACCGGGTAGGAGCCTCCTCCCCATTCACACCATCGTTCTGTGTGGGGCTGCGTACCCCCTGTTAAGGTCCCGCCCAGACAGACGAGCAGTTCCGCAGAGAAACACCTGCTTTTCTCCTGTCACTGAGGACAGGCCGTTTCCAAAGAACCCGAGCGCAAATTCGTGGGAAGCTGTGTGTTCGGCTCCCCGGATCTCCAGCTCAGCGCTGCCTCTAGGTCTGGCCCCATTCTCCTGGCGTCACGCCTTCAGGCTCTTTCACGTGCTCGGGCCTCACAGAACAGCGTCCCTTTCCGTCGTCATGGGAGGGACGCCAGGTTTCCGGTTCCCCTGTTTGTGCACCAACCGGCTCAGGCGCAGTGACACGGTTTCCGGGTTTTGGGGACAGAGGAGCAGAGCTGCTGTGAGCCTCGGCCCGCCGGCTTCTGTGTCAGCACGGTCGTCGTTTCGTTTGGGGAGTGTTCAGGAGCCGGCACTCGGTCACCATGGGAGGCGTGAGTTCCAATTTCTGCGACGTTGTCAGAGTGTTCTCCAAGGTGGCTGCAGCGTGGTGTGCCCCACGGCAGCGCACGTGAGCTCTGGCCGCTACATCCTGGCCAGCACGCGCTCGTATCAGGATTTTTTTTTAATTCCCTTAGGTTTTTAGTCTGTATCTTCTTTTTCTTTTTTTCTTTCTTTTTCTCCCCTGCCCCCCGCCACCCCTCCCCAGTGTCAAAGATCTTGCTGTGTCGCGATCCTTCAGGTTCTGCCTCCCAGCTGGGAGCAGAGGTGCCCTCACTGCCGGCATTTCTTTTGTGTTAGACGAAGTGCCTCTCACTACCTGTCCAGGCCAGCCTCCGGCGTTGCTGGTGTAACAGGTGCCCCCTGTGAGCCGGGATTTTTAGCTGGACCCAGAGATTGAACCCAGGCCTCCAGGTGGCCAGCCTGCCAAGCACTGCATCTCAGCAGCACACGCCAGTGTGCTTGGGCCAAATTTGTAATATCTTTATAAAAGCATTATTTATTTAATTTTATATACCATTATTATGATTTTAAAATTTGCTACAAGGCATGCACACTCACCAGAGAGGAAGAGTGAGAGGGAGTGAGAGCGCAAGCCACCAGGTCCGGGACTCAAAGCACGGTTGGCCATGTGGGAGTCTGACCCCTCAGTCACCACACCCCCTGCTGACTCCGAATATGTATTTTAAAGCAGTGGGTAGGGAGCGTGCTTCCTTGTGATCACATGCCATTGTCTGATATAGTCCTAATCGAATGTTCAGCTTCTTTTTGTTGTTGTTATGACAAAATATATTCATACAATCGATATTGTACCATCTGTGATCAGCAGGTGATGTGGCAGGTCAGATAATGGGCCAGCTCTGGTTTTGTTCCCAGACCCAGTGGCTTGAAAATCACACTGAGTGAATGTGCATGCATGCCCAGCATCTTGAGATAATGGAGAAGGGACTGCAGCATGACCATTCTCCCCGGGAGTGATTCTTCGCTGTCCCTCTCTCTTTCTCTGGTGAGCACCCTATGGCAAAAACAAAAACAAACCAAACAAACCAAACAAACCAAACGAACCCCACGCGAATCATTTTCTGTGCGCAGGCAGGTGGCACTTACTGCAGTCACGCCTCCGTCCAGCTCCGTAACCTTCCCACGAGAACCCCACGCCGACCTTGCCTTCGCAGCACACGTTCTACTTCCTGTGTCTGATTTTTTGGAGGAACCGCCACATTGTTCTCTGCAGAAGCTTCACTATTGCTCACTCTCACCAGAGACTGAGTGTCTGCACGTCCTCACCCTCATTTGTCATCTCCTTTCCCCTTTTATTTTGATAATGGCTTTCGTGATGGGCATGCAGTAGTAGCTCACTGTGGTTGGCTTGTTTTCATTTTTCTTTTAAATAGCGCATACGTATTTTAGGTGTAGAACATGACGTGCTGATGTCGTGGTCATACTTTGAATTCCTCTACTGAGGGATGAGTGGTGCCGAGCATCGTTCCATGTGCTTATTGGCTATTCGTATATTTTTAAAGAGAAGTCTTTTATGCACTTTGCTCAATTTTAAAGGGCTCTGTGGTGAGTGCTTTCTATTTTTAAATAGGACCGGCAATAATTGTTCTGTTTTGAGAGTCTGTGATGTTTTCTAGATGTGTCATTCATCGGAGACAAATCCTCAGATGTTTCCCAGTCTACTTTCCTCCTCACGCTCTTTTCTTTCACTGTCTTACACGCTTTCTCTGCATTCCCCAAACACGTGCTCCCCAGGAGATGACCTACCAGTGCGTCAGGGTAGGCAAGAGCAAAGCAATGATGGGACAATGCCGAGGTCAGTCATAGATGGGGACATTGCATTTCAAATGCCACATGGCAACACACTGGGCTAATTAATGCCACCCATAGTCACCCTGGTCTTAGTTTCTAGAACTTGTAAATGTTACCTTTTGAAAAAAAATTATTTGAAGGTGCGATGATCATTCTAGTTGAGGTAATCATGGATTACCCATCTGGTCCCTAAGTTTAGTCTTACATGTTCTTTTAAGAAAGAAAGAGGAATGAATTTGATATATAGAAAATAAATGAGGTCACATGGCCACAGAGGCAAGCTAGAAGTCAAGGAAAGACAACAGGTGCAACAATCTGAAAGAAAGGGGAGGATTTCCTCTTGAGCCTCTGGAGGGAGTATGCCCTGCTGACCATTGGACTTTGGCCCAGCAAAACTAATGTCAGACTTCTGGTCTTCAGGAATATAAGAGAATAAATACCTTTCGTTATCAGACAATACGTTTTTGGTAACTAGTCACAGAGGTCTTAGGAGAAGAATAAAATGACTTCCTGGGCCCAGCATGGTGTAATGGCTATGTTGCTGAGCTCCCACCTAGTTAGCAGCTTAAAACTCAAGACAGACGCATGTGTGTGTGTCCCCAAATCCTGAGAGGAGAATGGAGGAGAAGGAATTGTAGCATGGATGTAATACCTCTGGGACACGGCAGAAAACAAACTGAGCAAAGCCCCTCTCTCCAGGTGTATTCTCTGCTCCTCTTCGTAACAGAACCCTTCAGGGTGTTGTCTACGCTCACTCTTCTCTGCGTCTTCTTGCTGTAACTGAGTCCTCTCTTCACTGCCACCATTTCACCCCTGGGGGGTGATTTCTCGCTTTCTGTCTGTTTCTCTCTGTTTTTCTGGTGAGCACACGCACCCTGTAGAAAAAACCTCTCCAAAAAAAAAAAGAGAGAACCTTGTACACTGATGGTGAGAATGTAAGTTAGTACAGACTTTATGGAGAGACGGATTGTCACTCTGAAACTTGCTGATGGTAACTACCATATGATCCTGCTATCCCATTTGCAGCTACAGATCCATAAAAACTAAAGAAGTTATTTCAGAGGAATATCTGCACTCCCACATTCACATCATTGTTCACGATAGCCATAATATGAAATCAGTCCAAGTTTTCATAATGGATAAGAATAGGAATGTATGAGTGCAATAGATCGTTCTGCGACCTCAGAGAGAAAGGAAACGCAGCCATTTTCAACTACAGAATGAACTTGCAGGCCATCGTGATACGTTTTATCAGCCAGGCACAGAAAGACAACTGCTGCATCATCTCATGTATGTGGAACCAAAAAATTTTAAACTCATAAAAGCAGACCGGATAGGGGCTGGCAGGTGGCATGGTGGTTAAGGTGCTGGACTCCTACATAGCTGATCACAGTTCAAGTCCTGGACCTGTGAGCTTGCTTTTTTGCCTTTTCCCTCCCTCTCTGGTCAAATTTAAAATTAATTAATTAAGAAATTTAAAATGAATAATTTTTACAAAAAGTAGAACAGTGGTGGCCGTGAGCTGGTAGGTGTACCAGTGTGGAGATGGGTACCTAGTTTCAGTTTGACAGAGAAGGCTGTTCTGGGATGTAATGGACAGCAAGTGACTACAGCTAATAACACTTTGTGTATTTCAAAATTCCTAGTAAACTAAAAGTGTTCCCTCCGCAAAACAAAACAGAACAGATATTGCAGAATATGGAGTATTCTCATTCTCTGAATAGAGTGTGAGTTCAAACCGCAGAAGTGCTGTTAGCGACATGAAGTAACGCAGATGGTATCTAGGTTGATGAAGCCATTCCACAATGTATACATGTTTTAAAACATCGTATTGTAGACCATAAATAGAAATAATTTTGTCAATTAACAAAAATGTATACAGATGAATGTCCACAAAAATCAGTTGTACATTGCAAATGTATACACACACACATATGATTTTTTTTTTTTTTTGGAGAGGTTTTTGCTATAGGGTGCATGCTCTTGCCAGAAAGACAGAGAGAGACAGAGAGACAGAAAGCGAGAAATCACCCCCCAGGGGGGATGGCCACACCGCAATCCCTTCTCCTCCATTCTCCTCTGTCGGCGTCCGCCCCAGGGCTTGGGTCTGGCTGAATCATGATCAGGGGGCTGCTGCTGAGGAAGAGAAAGAGGACGAGAAAGAGAAAGCCCTCCATCTTGCCAGGACCTGGGAACTGGAAAGAACGAGACAAAGGGATAGAGTAGAAATGGACACAGGCAGCCTGAACCTAGGTAGCCCAAGCAACCTGTGCCGCCCAGATGAACTGGACGTCTTTATTTATAGTACAAGGAGACATTACACATGTATGTTTCATGACACTTCATGGATTAGTTGCCAGGTTACAGACAATGAGAAGCAGTTAACAAATCTATATGGGATTAGTCATACCCGGGGCCAGGTGTATCCCTTGTTGATAATCCCATCTAGAGTAAATCTCATCTTCCTTTCTAATGCAGAGAACTAGCTGTTAGATGTGTCTGTTGGAACGCCCCTAGTAATTTCTACCCTTGCTCTGTCTGCAGCCAAGGTCAGGGAAAGACAAGTTACAAGGTTCTGCCAAACCCCAAAAGAGCATGTGGTGTTTGCTCAGCGCATGTCCCCACACCTCAGACTCTCTCTCTTAAACGTGTCCCCACACTCCTCTCAGGATCTTGGGCACGCACGCACACGCACCTGGCATCAGTTTAAGCCACCAGGTCCGAGACTCGAATTGCAGTCGACTACATGGGAGTCTAGCGACATAGCCATTATGCCAACTGTTGGTCCCTACATATATGATAAAAAAATTTTAAAAAAAGTTTGCTATAGGACACACACAGTCACTGAAGAGAGAGAGAGTAAGTAAGAGAAAATGAGAAATCAGGCCCCTAAAGGATGGCCATGCTGCAATCTGTAGTCCTCTCTGTTTTGGGGCATGCACACACACAATCCAGCGTGTTTTTCAAGCCATTGGGACAAGGATTCAAACCACACAGTTGCCCATGTGGGATCCAACTGCCTTAACCTCTGTGCAATCTGCTGACCCCTATATACATATTTTTTATTTGTTAATTATACTTTAGTTAGCTGGAAATATTGCTCTAAAACCTCCAGAAGGGATCACAATAAATCATGAGAATGGGCAGGTTGTGGACAGAAGTCTGAGTGCTTTTTCCTGTTTTTACAAAATCCTTTCCAGAGGATCTAGAGAGAGTCATGCCCACAAACACTAACGGACTATTTTGACCCACCGGTGACAGGCTTCCTACATCCCACTCCCCCTATAGTGTTGGAGTATCTTCGTGATGTATTTAAAGCCTCCTGGTCGCTGTTAAAGTACATTCCTTTCTGATCCCAGCAACCTTCCTTTTTTAATCATCACCCTAAAAACTGTAAAACCCACCTATAACCCACAAGCCCCCACTTCACACATCCCATCTTTTGGAGCCAGACCAATGGAAGCACTTTCCCTAAATTCCAAACTCTGTCTCTCGCTCTCGAAATCAAAGAAACCCCTGTACCTGCTTACCCTGAGAGAAAGGTGTTTTGCCTTCTCTCTGGGCATAGGCCACTCATATTCTGCTTAGAAATAAACCACACTATTATTATTATTATTTACAGAGTTGGTTATTTTCTGGTTGACAAAGCCAACAAACAAAAACGGAGCTGCTGTTGTCAAGGTCACCAATGACAAAAGTGTTTCCTTGTGCCCTTTCTTCATCAACAATCACCCATTTCTTCCCTCATCCTGTGTCCTAACTGCACACCAGCTCTGTTGTAACGTCTGCACCCTGGACCATCTCCTGATCGCTAGACGTTTGTATTCAGCTGTCTCCCTGACATCGCCCTCTGATGTCAAGCGGCTTCCTGGAAGGGGCATCCTCCCTCCACACTGTACTCCACGAAACACACTCCGTCCTTCTAGCGGCTCCTGGGAATGTTGCTCCTTCATCCTTGCTCCTCCATCTCCCTCACTGGGCAAGTCCTTCAGAAACCCTGTGAGCCTGACCTTGGACACACCCAAGTGCACACCCTCACCCAGCTCTGCTCCAGCTGAAGCCCCTGCTCTAACCCTGAAGGAGCCGGTAGGCCCTGAGGGCAGCTCAGGCTCTGGTTCGGCTCCTCCTCTGAGCCAGGCAAGCTTTACCTCCACCCCTCCCAGGACGGGGTCCTAGCCCGGTCCAGCCAAGCCCTACACCCTGTGGCTTTCCCCCTGTGGCCACCCCTGGGGCCCACGCCTTACCCATCACATGCAGAACGAACTTATTAGTGGAAGTCCACTTGGCACTTCCTCTCTCCACATGAAAAATGTATGAACCACTGTCTTCCCTCCGTGCGTCGCTGATGTTCAGGGAGCAATTGTAGTTCTCCGGGTCCCCAAGGAGGTGGAATCGGCCCTGGGTGTCCTTTTGCACTGCTCGAGTCTGGTCGTTGGTGGCCACTGGAGTGTCCCAGATTGTATCAGCCCCTTCCCGAAACCAGTAGCCATAGGGCAGGGGGTAGTAAGAGTTGGCCCTCCTGTCGTAGTAAAAGGAACAGGACACAAGGATGCACAGGCCCTCTGGCACCGTCACTGTCTCAGGCACCCGCAGCTTCAATGTCCCACCATGAGCCAGGGACCAGGAGAAAAGAAGGTCAACCCAGCCCAGCCTCCATGCGGATTCTTCCCTTAGCAGGGGCAGCAGCAGCAGCAGCAGCAGAGGCCACATCTCCGTCTCCAGCGGAGGTCCCTGGGCTTCCTGTTTGAGCAGAGGGGAAGGTGAGGGCAGGGGAAGGGCCAGGACCCACGGAAGCCAGAAGCTGGGGAGGAGCTTGAGGTTTCAGCTGCACAGATCAGGAACCTCAGACCCCAAATGTCCAGGCTCATTTACTTCCACTCAGAGAGGACGAAAACCCCACGGCCCAGAGACTCCAGAGACCTGCCCAGTGAGGAGAGAGAAGCACCAACGCCATTCTGCCCCATCTCAGGTGCTCCCTGAGCTCCAGAGCCTGACTGGGACCTCTGGGGACATCAAGACAAGGAGCTGCGTGAGAGTCTAAGGTCCTCCCACTCTGAGTGTCCACAGGGAGCTGGTCACTCCTGGTCAAGACTTAGAGAGTCACAGCCTTGTCTAGACCCATGGGGCGGTGGGTCCTGCAGGATGTGGGATTCTGTAGGTGTGGTAGGCAGTTAGTCGTGAGCAGGCAGCCCTAAGAGAAAAGCGAAAGGCTCCCCTACCCCGGGCGCTGGGAGGGCGAGGCAGTTTGCCATCTTCCTTCCTTGGGGCCTGAGGGAAGCACACAGGGGTGATTCCTAGATTCTTCTCTTATCAAAAAGACCCAAGCAAGCATTTTGGTCAACACCCTAATCCCCAAGTAAGTGTTTTGGTCAACACCCTAATTCCCATTAGGTCAACGCCCTAATTCCCATTAGGGTAATAAACTAATTAGGCGGTCTAATTAAACAGCCTAGCTCACACTGGGCATGTGCAATTAGGTAATCAGATTCCTCATTCTTTATCTGTGAGGAAAGTGTGCAAGCTCAGGAGAAAACAGAATTCGAATTCAAACGAAGGGCAGAGGTAGTACAGCAGACCTCCCGCCATAACAATCCACGATTAACGTACCAAGCGCGGTTGCCACCTGGCGATCTGCCTGCCCGAGAGTCTTTTGGGTGCACTTCTTTTCTTCCTATTAAACCTTCTCTTTTACCTACTTCATTCGTGGTTGCGGTTTCGTTTTGCGCCTAGGGACGGGTCTCTAATTTTAGTGATCTGGACCCAAAGAACCAAGGACTTCACAACCCAGCTCGACACTCTGCCATCCGTCAACACAGGATCCAAGTTTGAGTGTCTGGGACTCATAAACCAAAGCGTGTCCTGGGTGAGGTGGAGGCAGCAGCCGTTCATCCCTGCATTCAGGAAACAGTGAGCAGCCGTGCATGGGTGGGGTTGGAGACGAGAGAGGAAGTCGAGACAGGAGACAGTGTGGGGCAGCCAAGGAGAGTCATCCTGAAACTGAGCAGGGACCCTCTAATGTATTTCCTAAAGTTCTTGAAAGGGAAGGTCCACTTACTTTGTAAGGGCTCAGAGTAAGGGGTAAGTCTTCGGGCTTTGGTTACGATAATGAAACATGGACCATGAGTGAGGGCCATTTGACCTCTAAGACTCACGTAAAGGAAAGATAAGGTTTCTATTTCAGTATAGGCTGGAAACTGCTGGCTGTGAGCATAAAGACCCAGGCTGAATGGCTCCAGTCACCTGAACGGAAATCTGACAATCTAAAGCCTCACCAATCAAGAATGCCCACGAGAGACAATCACGCCCTCTCGAACCAATCACTGAACTGATCGTGCGCTTGGGACCTCTGCCCCTAATTTTGCCCTTAAAAGCGTATGTGGGGACATCTCAGGGAGACCGGGTGTTTGCAGCTTGAGCTCCCGCTCTCCTTGCTTTGCACTTGGCAGTAAAGCTGGGCTTCCCTTCATCACACCGTGTGCCTGTGGTTTGGTTTCATGGCGCTTGGGCGAGCGAACTGGATTTGAGTTCGGTGACAACCTTACATCAAAAGCAGGGAGAAGAGGCCTTTCGGAAGTCTCTCGCCAAGTCTAGTCGTCAAGGGACTGGGCAGCATAACATAAGCAGCAGGAAAAGGCTCTAAGTAATATTCTAACTGTCTGTCTGTAATTGATTAAGTTGCTGGAAAAGTGCGCCCTGTGATACGTTTTAGTATAAATTAGCTTGAAGGGAGAGGCGCCTTGATATGGTTAGGCAGTCAATAGCAGAAATGTGTCTATGTGTGTTCTTTCTTCTTTCTTCTTTTTTTGTATCATAGCAAGCAACTGTTTATTGGGACAAAGAAGATATGCCAAAAGCCAACTAAGTTATTATAAATAGATATGTGCAATTTATTGTCATTTTTCTTAAAGCAAATGGAGTTAGGGTACAGCCACCGAAGTCC